GAGAGAGAGAGAGAGAGAGAGAGAGAGAGAGAGAGAGAGAGAGAGAGAGAGAGAGAGAGAGAGATTTAGGACTTGAGGGATTTGACGACAATTGGATTCAGACTCAACATTGGGTGGGGGACTATTTGGGATCAATATTGACGACATTCTCATCCCCTCGTCCGTCTATGATCCCCCTCGTCGTCGGTCTATGATCCGAGCCTGGTGCATTCTTCCTGTGTGTGGTGCCAGGCCCCTTCACACCTTGTGGTGATGATGATGTCTGTTCGGTCTGCATTGTGGCATTGATTGGTCTGATTGTTGGCATTTCAGTCGTCTGCTGTGCTATCTTGCTCTATCAGAGATATTGGTATGCAACAACTAGCACCAGTTTCTCCATTTGCTGAGCACAATTAGACAACGCTTGATCTGTTGATGCAGTGAACTTCTAATGCATGAGAAAACATGAGGGAATTCTTCCTTTCTCGTCCTGACCACACTTTTTTGGCTTGGACGTAATCTGGTGTGGATCCAGTTTGGCTAGTCCAGTCAGCGTCGGAAGAATCTCTGGAGATGGTTCGAGACTTGTGTCTGGGCAGCGATAGTGAAACGCCAGCTGCTGGGAGGGAGTATGTGAGAGGGTCAAAATCATCAGGTGGACGGAAACATGAAGAGGACGGTGAAGAGCTTTTCTTCATCGATAGAGTGGGAGAGAAGATGGAAAACTCGGAGAATGCAACGGAGGACAATGCTGTTGCTGACTCCGAGTTCGAGAGAGCCGCTATTGGCATGCTAGAGCAAGCACGTGGCACATTGAATGACTGGGACCCTGCTGGCGCACAGCAGGAGGTGGAAGACAATGAGGATGGCGAGCAGGAAGAGGATGATGATGGTGGGACCGCCAGGGGTGAACATGAGGACAGGATGATAACCGAGTTCCAAGCTGAGACAACAAGAGCGGAAGAGGATGGAGAAGGGGAGGGGGTGGATGCCATGCAAGCGGCAAAGAAGGGGTCAGAGAAGAAGTCGAAAGTTTATAGTGGGATCAGAAAGCCTTCTCTTGGTTCAGAAACGAAACGAGGGAAAGGACGACGTAGGCGAGAGTCTGCAGGAAAGCAGGATGCTGAGAGGCGTAGGGAAGAGGAGGGAGAAGACAATAGAGGGGTGAAAAAGGAGGGCGAAAGGGAGAGTCGAGAGTCTGGTGACGAGAAAGGAAAGGGGGAGAACTTGTCAGAGGATGGAAAAGGGAAAGAAGGTGAAGAAGAATTGAAAGGAGAGGAAGAGGGTGACGAGGAAGATGTTGACCTGGTTGGAACTGGTGGAACGCAGACAAAACCAAGCAATAGATTGGGATTCGTTAATAAGGCTTCCAACACTGATGAGGAACAACAGATGGTTGCGGAAAACGTCGGAGATCTGACAGTGGAAAAGGAGGACAAATCAGGTAGGGAAGTGGGAGCGAAGGACTCCCTTCTTTCGGGTTTAGTCATGGGAGGCCACGAGCCAGTTGGCAGGGTTGAGATGGTACCTGCGCTCGAGCACAGAGTGAGTAGAGAGCAGGGGGCAGGAGGAAAGAGCGGTGATAGGGAGTCTGATGAGCAGAGTTTCGGAAAGACGGAAGTGAAATCGCTGGAGGTCAAGAAGAGGGGAAAAGAGTCGAAGCAGGGTTCTACGCTGTTGAATTTTCTTAAGAAGGGGGTGGAAAATGACGACGATGATGTTGAGGATGAAATTGGGGTAGATGAAATTGGTGAAAAGACCGAGGATGGCAAAGGTTCTGCTGAGTTGCTAGATGGTCATGGCACTGTTAAGAAGAGGAAGCGTAGTTTGGAGGGGGAAAGGAAGGTTAGATCCAGGAACGATTCAAAGGTTGCTCAGATATCAGAAGCGGAGAAGGTGGTGACCAGTGAGAAGGGGGGAGTATCATCTTCGATCGCTCCAGAGCTTGGGGCGTCAGCACTGGTGGAGCAGTGCGATGCGAACGAAAATGATATGGCCACATCCCTGGCTGCGACTACTTCTGAGAGGACGTCAAAGAAAAGTTTGAAGGAAACAAATGCACGGAGAGTGTCGGGGCTTGGTACTGATGACGATGGGATGGTATTTGAGCACCAACGGCGAGAGGTTGACAAGGACCATGGGGAACTATGCGGCGAACCTTCAAGTACAGGAAAACATGAGTTACAAAGTGGGAATTGGATGGGAAGCGGTGATGGTTGTGAAGCTATGGAGGATACTGCCGTGACTGGTGAAGAAGGGAAGGAAGTCACAGACTTTGCTGATGATCCATTTCCTCTTGCATCGAGTGGTAAAAAACATCAAAGCAGAAGGAAGGCGAAAATGGGGAGTCGAGAAAAGTTGAAGGCATCAGACCCTAGGTTGTCCGGGAGTTGGAGAATAGGAGAAGTGAGTGCTGGTGAAGATAAGGGTGTTGACAAGCAAGACGAGGAGGATGTTGCAATGGGTTTTCGACAAGTGAAAGATGCTCCAGACTTCGCGACTCCGCAGCCTTTTGTGTCTAGCGGTAGAAACCGTGAAACGGGCAGGAAGTTGGGGCGTACGTCATCCAGAGGTTTGAGATTAGGAGAAGCTAATGCTGATGAAGAGCAGAGCATCAATGAGCAAGGTGAGGACTGCAGCGTGGACGCGAAATATTCAGTGGCGAGGAACTTATCTGATGCAATGCTCACACCTTCAACTGAAAAGGACAGCAAGAGGGCGGAGAGGGAAGGGTGGTCGCAATCATCAGGAGGGGAGAAAACAGCGATTATGTGTACTGCTGGTGATCCTGGCCTGTCAGAGCAAGAACAGACGCACAGTCTGATCGTGGGTTCTGGTAGTCAAGTGTGGAAGAGGCACTGCAAGGAGACAGTTGTCAAAGGTGCAGCAGCTGATGTCGAGGATGGAGCTTTCCATCATCGTGAGGAAGGTGTTATTGCTTCAGAAATAATATGTGGCCTCCCAGCCAGCGGACATCAGGTGGAATGCGCAACCACAGCAGGGAAGATGGGCGGTGAAGGAAAGCAGAAAAGCCACCACACAGAGAACGATGAAATGGACGTTTGTGAGGAAGACGATGGTGCTAATGACAAGGATGGAGATGATCGTGGAGAAATGGTGAAAGCAGTTGCCTTGTCAAGAAGTGCTGAAAAAAAGATAAAGAAAGAGGACAGGCTCAACAAGGGTGCTGCAGATATTTTAGAGGTGCAGATGGCAGCCGATTCACCAGAAGAGTCTGATGAGAGTAGCAGGAAGCGAAAGGAGAGTGCAAGAAAGAGCAAAAGCGGCATGAGCAAGGATGGCACCGTTATTGCGGTTGGTGATGAAGAAGTGAGTATGGTGCCTATTGCATGCCCTGCAACACTGGCTGCTGACTATGACAGGAGTGATGGGGTAGCTAAGAAAGACGAGAAAGTGGACGCTAAAGATGGAGAGAACAGCGCTGGAATGACAGATTTGCCAGACGAAGCGGAAAGTGGCAGAAAGCGAAAGAAGAGTGCAAGAAAGAGGAAGAGTTCCATGAGCAAAGATGGGACTGCTGTTGAGGGTTGTGATGAAGAAGTCGATGCTGTGCACCTCGCACCCGTTTCAACGTCCCCTGCTGACAATGGTAAGAGTGGTGGGGTAGCTAAAAACGATGAGAAAGCAGATGTGAAAGATATAAAGAACAGCTCTGGAACATCACACTTGCGGGGAGAAGAAGCACAAAGCAGCAGAAAGCTAAAGAAGAGTGCAAGAAAGAGCAGAAGTGGCATGAGCAAAGATGGGGTGGTTGTTGTT